GAGCCTTGAAGCAGCTGTACTTGCTGCAAGTATGTGACATGGACTGGGAGCAAGGCAGGTGTGTGTGTTTCCAAGGATAAGACCACATGAGGACCAGGCTATGAAGGGGACTAGGGACTGTCAGAGGGACTATAGAGTCTCAAAATCCACAGGAGATCCAGTGGAGGATGGTGACATGTAGATATCTAAGCCATTAGTTTCCAGTGGTGATGAAAATACAACAGTCAAATAACAAATATAAGGATATCAGCATATCAGCATTGTCCTTACGTAAACACATGTTCATGATCAGCATACAAGAGATAAATAACATACTACAAATTGTAGAAAAATCTATTAGAATCATTTCTTTGACAGTTTTTTCAAAGACTTAACCCCCTCAAAAATATCACAATGCTAATGCTAATGCTGTCATTTACCCTTCATTAAGAATGGTGATAGAAATCCTGTAATTGCAAAAGATTTCTAGACAAAAATGAAGTTATTAATGCACTCTTAATTTTTTTTCATCTCTCACCATCTCAGGACCACCTTATAATGGTTTAATGCAGATCACAGAAAGTGCTGTATGACTGTTTTACTAATAGAATTGTGATACATTTCTTACATTCTGTTTAAAATAATAAACTTAATTTTATTTCCAGGTTCCCCTTTCACAAGATAAATGAAAGTATTATGAATTCAGGAACATTCAGAAGATGAGCAAGAGACTATGTTTAAGAAATTAAAGCATCTGATGGCTGAAATTCATTAGCAGAAGGCAGAAGAGATTTTTATTCTGTTCAGTGAAACTGCTTGATTCAGAAAATCAGCTGTGCCATGCTTGGCCTCCGTTTTGTTAAGAATTTATGGAGAAATATCTGTTAACAAGACAACATTTCTGTTGCACCGAATCACTGTTGCCCAAAGGTAGAACAGCTCAGTTCCTACAGTAAAGCAACCCAGGAATTTCAGTAAATTGAATTGATTAATTCCATTCCCATTACTTTGGCCATTGCAGACAGTTGATGTAGTCAAAGCTCCTGGAATTTAATGTTAGCTTTTAGACTGATCTTCAGGAATGAGTTTCTTCGTCTTCCAATATGACTCTCATCAAAATAATCTTCCTTTTAGGCATTTTTCTATTCTATGAAGCTTCAGATGTTCAAAGCAAACTGAGATGAGTCTATAAATGAAGCCTTTCATTTTGTTTTGCTTATAGCCTATTTAAACAACAGTCTTAGAAACAAAGGTATCTATGTGAAAGTTTTCTGTGCTTCTGCTCCTTTAGTTAAAGCTCATAAAACTCCTAGTTACCTTCTCTGAGACAGACAAATAGGTAATAAAAAACCAGGAGATTTGACTTGAAAATAGATAGATGTACAGGAAGAAGACTTACTCTGTTCAAATAGAATCTTTCAGACATGTATGCCTAACCATAAAAATAATAATGAAAGTGATGTCACCGCTTCATTTAAATATAATAAAGACCACAAAAAGATTATACCAAAAATTAATAACTGTTTATAAAACATTTGGTGACTCTGAAGTTGCCTTGATTCATCACCATTTTGCTTCTTAAATGTCTGTTATTTATTTTTTAAACTCATGAGTTTTCTGCTGGATTTTTGAAATCTGGAACCATGTCACACTAAGAATATCATATATTTACCTACAGTTAAAATAGAAAAGAATCCTGAGAAGCCAAAGACCATTTCACCTCTACTTGCATAGCTTTAAGAATCCAGATTTTATGCTGCTCCAACATTTCATTCTCCTCAGAGATAAATTTTTTTCCCCAAACTTGAACCAGACTTTTTCTTGCTGTTTATGCCCATAATTTTTGATTCCATTCACCATGAATACAGAGAATAGATTGTGCTTTATTTTCTGCAGGTAGTTTGCTTTTAAGAGAAATTCAGCAATTTATGAATGCCCTGCTCTTGGCAAAACTTCTCATTGCACATGAGTTACATTTTCTTGAACACAAAGGTTCAAGTTACTATTACTATACATCTACTACTACTGTACTACTACTATACTGTGGCAACTTCTAAGGCTTATGGTGACATAGGAATACATTTCATTTCAGTCCACTAGGGACTGGGTAGATTATATAGAGGTGGGCAATCACTGGGATGGGCATAATCCTGTGCAACCTGCTCGAGATGAACCTGCTTTGGCATCAGGGATTGGACTAAATGATGTCCAGACAGCCCCAACCATTCTGTGATTCCATGATTCTATTACCAGCACCTCACAGTAGAATTCCTCAAGACTAGTTGCAAGATCCTGGCCAAATTTTTTTGGATTTGGCATAGCAAGTTAATTTAATTCCAATCACCACCAAATGTACAAAAAAACCCTCAATTTTTTTCCTTTCTGTATTGTGTTTTTTTCTTCTTATCCTACAATATCCAGCACCCCAGAAAATTTTTCTGTACAAACACGTGAAAAAAGAAGATTAAGAGTTAAAATACCATTCTGTCTCTTCCATTTATTCTCCATTTATTTGTGACTCACACAAGAGTAATAACTTTTGCTAAACAGAGGAATAAGTGGTAATATTTTCCCATGTAGCAGCTACCTGAGCATTAGCAGAATCCCTTCTTACCACCAGATGCATATCTTCCAAACTGGAAGGATATGCTCATCCGGCTCTTTGATTCAAAGTAATTAGCGTCAGACTTCCTGAATGAGAACATGTCCTGTGGAAACAGAAGGTGGGTTCAACAACATTACTTAAGAAGTTTGACCTTTTTTCCATTCTGAAAGGTCATCTTACAGAGAGAAGCTTTCTTAGAGGATTTCTATGCTTTTCCTTCTAAAATTCTTTAAAATACATCTCTAGAGTGGTTCCTGAAATGAGAATCTAGTCTTCAGCTCCAAAAGCTAAGGACAACCTTTTCCAGTAAAATGACATTATCTTACTCTCTGTATTTCCCCTTAATCAATTAGAAAATTTTTCTTTCCTCTAGATACCATGTCAATATTTGGATTTAATAATGCATCTACCCAGTGTTTTCCAGAGAGTAGGAAGGCATGATAGACTAAAATTTGCTCATGAATTAAATGTGCAAAACATGTTAGACCTATTTTCATTAAAAATCATGTGTTTCTTCTGCTAGGTCAAAAATTATTATTTTGTTTCTTTTACAGTTCATAGATGAGTTTTAGAAAGTTATTGCATAGAAATATCAGAAAAATATCAGAAATAGCTGAACAGACCAAGCAACATAGTTTATTTGTGTATTGTTAGGAGGGGGTTTTAGAACCATACATGTTTCTCTGCAAACTTCTGCTTACTGTGTGTGATATTTTGTTTGCAGCTTCTGTGAGAAAATTCAATTTGTATTTAGTATCCTCAAAAAATGCACAGGGAGAGTTAGACGTTTTAGACTGCTGTATGTAAGAGCAGTGCATTTAGCAAGGACAAGATTTCGGAAACCCTGAAACTAAAGTGTGTACTACAGATCTTTCCATCTCTCCAGAATTAGTATTCATGGAAAGCAAGGGATGATAGTGTAATTCATGATGGAAGGGGTCCCATCTGCTACTTCAGTCAGAGGGGGAAAAGAGTTACATTTTCAAAGAAGAAAGAACTGAGCACTTGGACACCAAACCAAAATCAAAGCCAGTTTGATTTGCTGAGCCCCATAGCAGAGTCAGCTCTCAGAGTTAATACTTGCACATTATAATGCTGGTATTTAAAAGCTATCTTGTTACTCAGCAAATGCAAACACAAGATGAACTGCCTTGAGCCATCCAAGAGTCATGTGACCTTGGGAAAAAAGCAGAGATCTTGGGAGGATCACAAAATCACACAACAGCCCAGCTTGAAGAGGACCTTAAAAGGATCACCCTGTCCAACCCTTCATGGGAAAGGGAGCTTGGATGAGATTAGCTAGCGCTGTGTCCAATCACATCTTGACAGCTTCAGTCAAGGTTTCAGAGAAAATCTTCAGTCTTTCCTCAAAAGTGATGTTCTCTGCCTTGCAGCAGGGCTGATCAGGCTTGGTGGCACAGTTTCTTGTGCAGCCTCCTGGCATTGCTTCCTTTGGAACAGAAGCAGGGTCAGCTTGTGTCTGTTGAAGTGGCTGTAGGTAACATGCCCTACAGAATAAAAGCAAAGCATTAGTTTCTTAGGAGCCTTGAAAACCACAGTTCTCTGCAGAGGATTGCCTGAGGTGCTTTCTGGTGCTCCTGAATTTTTTTAGCACCTGAGGGAGATTTCTAGAATGTCAGGCTTAGGCACATACATAAATCAAGTTCTGGAAGCTTGAGTGCTCTTCTAGAAATAAGCCTTGATGTAATCCCATTTACTGTAATGAAGTAAAATACTGGCTGGCCACTTTTAAAGATATCAGCCATCCTACACACTAAAGGAAGATGGAAAATATGGAAAAACAAGCTATTTAAGCACCTAATTAAAGACTACATCACCTAATACATATTCATAGATGAAGAAGGGAGGATAAATTTAATTTGTCCCAGGTATCTTGATCTGATGTTTCCTGATTTCTCTGTATAATGAAGAACAAGTAAAATTAAAAAAAGATGTTGTAGGAATAGCAAGAGAATTAGCAGCTGAGAAACTGCACTGTGCAAGAGAAGACACTAGAAAAAAATACAAGAAAAATTCAACACAGAAGATAAAAGGAAAAGAAGTTTGAGGCAAAAAATGTTAAAAAGAGAAGAAAGTGCCAACAGCTGAATAAATGAGAAAAGCTTGTTCTCCATTTCAGTTGATAGTAAATCACTGAAGCCTCATCTTAGTAAAAATTATGCTATATTTTGTGTTTACATATTTTATTATTTCTATATCTACCTGGGGGAAATAATAATAGTGTCAACATTTTGGAAAATGTTTTCACAGGAAGAGAAACATTAGGATACCAAAGGGTAAGCTTATTATTTTAAGCACATATATAGCATATAAATCTGATATTTTCATCTAAAAATACTAAGAGAAAATTCGAATTAAAAAGGAATTTAATTATGAACTTTATATGTACCTTCTCGGTGTTTTTACTGACTCAAATTAGATGTCCAAACTATGCAGTTCCCTCTATTAACACGATGTACTTCTACAGACATCAAACTGAGCACTGAACTGAACACAGCAGTGTTCCTCCATATATTTCATGCTATCTATAAAAGGAAGAGATACAGATTAATGCACTAACAATTATTTTGCATAATACACTAATGGTATATCATTCTGAGCAAGCACCCATTCACATATCACAAAGATTTTGCAAGGCCACCTCGTCAAAAAATAGGACTTAACCATTAAAGAGTTGATTTTTACTGCTTACTCTTTTTGTAGAATGAGGCAAAGGTATTTAAGGGAGGCCCAAGTCTGCAGGGTGCTTCTGTATGAATACATTCTCTTGAACAAGGAGTGGTAATGATGGTTAAACAGTATAAATGGGCAATTTAGACAATCAGTAATTCAGATATTTACATGGTCAAGAACCATTTGATTTCCCTGCAGTGTATCAAGACTTTCAAACTCTTGTCCATCCAGTAACACTTTAAATATGAGAACAACATACTTGTAGAGAATTCTTCACAGACTGCTATGAGAGATCTGCATCTATTGCTACAATAATTATCTTAACAAAATTAAAATATGGAAACCTCTGATCTTCTTTATTTGACTTCTGATCTTGTTCCAAAAACTTGTTATAAGCATGTAAAGCAGTTTATTTCTCCTGGAATATCTTTGAAATATCATACCATTCAATATAATTTTGAAAAGTTAGGTACTCAGAGCACTCAATATATTTAATGATGATCATTTAATAATTTGATAATTATAACAAACACTTTCATATATGCTTCCAAATATTTTTACATTCTTTCAAACATGAAGCCGTAGTTTCTGAATATTGGGAATATTTCTGGCTGTAGTAAAAGAACTGTTTTGGAAACAGCTCCAATACTTGGGGGTTTTTTATTGTTGATATAATAAACCTCAATATTAAGAGTGTACATTTATGTTAGTTTGGATTTTTTAATAACTTAGCTTCACATATTTGCAGTGTAACATGGGGTATAAAGAAACAGAAACGACTTATAGCTCCTACAACAAATTTTCATATCATTACAAGCTTATAAAGGAGCCAAAAGGAAGCTAAAAGTTTTATAAAAATGTGCAAGCTTATCTGCATGGTGACATGCTTAGTAGTAAGCAAAACATTTTTAAAGCATTATGATGTGTCTTAAATGACAATTTTCCAGCCTTTTCTCAGACACTGCTTAAAGAGTTCCCTTAACAGTGTACTCTGCAATGCTGCAGAGTGTCAGTGGTTCAGTATAAAATAATAAAGTATAACATACACTAATTGGGCTGATATAAGTAGATTATTAAGTGACATTTTTTCTATTCCAATAAATACCTCTACGAAAAGGCTATCTTAATTATTAGTAAACAATACAGAATATCCCTGGGTTTTTTAGATAATTTTTTAAGGTATAAATGTCTTGTCAATTAGATCAATAGTGAAGAAAATTAACTTCTTTCCCAAAAAACCATACTGCTATTTCACTTAAAAAGGGACTTTTTCTTCCTGTTACATGTTCCAAAACTTAAAAAATATTTGTGAATGTTCCATTAAGGGGCAGAGTTTATATACCTGCTTGCTCCCCTGTGCCTTCAGGGTACAGTTTGCAAACACACATAACATGTGTCTTATAATATTCCATAGATATATGTGACTTGATTTCTGAAAAAAAAATAAATTTAAAAATGCAGGAAATCTTTTAAATAGAACTTAATACCAAGTCAGTTTTACTGAGTAGAACTAAGGAGAACATGGCTGTTGGGTCAGGACTCCAACTACCACAAACTGCAGCCTCTCTCTAAATCACAGAGATTACTATCAAGCAAAAGGGGACTCCACAAGCTAAGGCAGATTTAGGGAATTTCATCTTTGTGTCACCTGTTCTGACAAGTCTCTTACTCTTTCACACATACCAGATGCTAAAATGAATGCTGTAATTCCTGGGGGCTAATTCCTGGGGGCTCCTCCTGCAAAGAGAAAGAATGGTTACAAACTATGTATTTTGTTTCGGTCTTTTATATTTTTAGTATGTGTTTTCAAGAAATCTTTAGTATGTGTTTAGTAAGTTGGGGTAGCATCCACTTAGATGGGAACCTGTGCATAATGGACAATCACAATCATATAGAGTCAAGTCAGCTTTGGTACTGCTTTCTCACAAAGGTGTTTGTAGGTTCTGCCACAGTAAAAACCCTTGCACAGTGCTAGATCTTCCGAATCCTTGTTTCCATCTGCCACCATTGGATATTACGAAACACAGTCTTCCTCATTCCTCTTCACAGAGCAAAGACCACACAGTCTTAGAGCACTGCAACTCTTAGACTAGGATTTACTACACACAATTAAAATAAGAAAAAAAAAAAAAAAAAGATAACCCAAGAGGGGTAATTCATTTCTTCAGGGCAAATGATAGCTTTACAGGCTCTGTAAGGATACCAAATCTCTACACCTCCGACATTAGGGTAAGTATACAAATCTAGATAAAACACCTACATGCTTTCCCTTGTCTCAGTTTCCTCAGCAGTTTGAAGCACTTCTTTGATCTCAGATTAGAATCCCCTAGGGTTTTTTGATCTCTGCCCCTGTAGCTCATGATTCCTGATCTGATCCCGTCTCACTTGTGTATCCAGTTTTCTGATTCTGGTACTTTCCCCTTCTTTTCTCTTAAGCATACCTTGGTCAGTGAAAGACTACTTCACATTGTCCTAATAAACTTACAAAACTGGTAGCTGTTTCTCAGTAATCTTCCTCTGTAACTTGATGTTAAAAATTGGCAATCAATTCCAAATATCACTAGAATTATGCATTCAGAGGCCTTCTTCTGAAGACAGCAGCCCACTGTCCAACATTAAAGAGGGAAAGAGAACACAAGCAGACCCCAGTCAAAGCAACTTCATTTTGTGTCCAAGTTGCAAGCCTTCTGTATCTTATTCAGTGTATAGAAGTGATTACTCAAACAGCCATGGGCAGATATTTGAATTGGGAAATACATTAAATTTGTGTGATTTTGAAGAGTTCACTTTCTTGATAAAAAGTTGAAAATTGCTAGGAATACCAAAGTATGGTTAGTTTTTTTTCAAAAAAAATTGTATTTCTACCACAACCAAGTTCCAATGAAATGCCCTAAAATTGGGAGGTTTAGTTGCATACAGTTTGTTTGACAAAGTTGTAAACTTATTTTTAAATATACAGACAAGCATATAATGTTAAGGAACTGGATCATCTTTGCTGTGAAACACAGCAAAGATTTTTGCGACACTGGGGAGCAATTCTAAGGAAATAGAGGGAAAATGAGTAAAAAAGAGCTACAGCTATAACACTTGCAGAATAGTGTGTCTGGGAAACCTGGTGAGATGTAAGATTCATAATTTAATAATTAGGATTAAAATTTTGAAGAGAATACTCTTTATTCCTGATGTTCAAAAATATGATGAGCTGATAATGCTACTCATTCATAGGAGAATTCAAATGGCAAAAATAGTAAGCTTTGAGAATAACATAAATAATATTTTTAACAGATTTATGTAAGACCAAGAGGCAACTGCAGTGACAACAGCAGGATAAGAGTCAGGCAGTTAGGTACATTTAGATAATGGAAATAAATAATGGAAAAAAAATCACTATGTTTTCTATAAAGTTTGTATATCTAGTTGTGTAGGAGACTTCTTTAACTAAAAATATTTCTGAATCTAAAAGCACAAGTATTGCCAACAGGTACAGAGAAAAATTAATGAAAAAGGGCTTAGAAAGAACACAAACATCTCCCTATGGTCATTTGACTTTAAATTTAAGCAAGCACACTAAAAAAGAGACAAAATCAGCATTAGCAATGACAGAATAGAGATTAAAGAACAATAGAAAAGGAATTTGGGGATATGCTCATACTGAACTAGAAAGGAAAACTGGGAAGAGGGAATTTAGCCAATTAATATTACTGGAAAGTATTTAATTTCTGGTTGATCTGAGTTTTTTTCTCCACACACTCCCACCCCCCCAAATCCTTAAAACACTTTAATGATTCTTCCTTAGATGAGGTCAATTTTGAAATGAAAATCACTGTTTAGCATAGATATATAGGTTTTCCATCTAGATTTCACATCAGACTTGTGTTTTCTCTTGCTATGCATTAGATTTAGATGCCATTCGGTGTTCCTTATGATGTCAAAATAGGTATAATGCACAAGTTCTTTGCTGAGCAAGTTTGGGCTAACATGAAAACCAGTATAATTGCCACAATAATTGAGAATTTTTTTAAATGAAGTTCCTAATACTGAGGAAGCAGGAAGAATTTCCTCACTTTTGTACTTGCTGATGGGTGCAGTTGTTAGCAGCAGATGCTCCCATACTAAGGCTAATAATGGAATACCTATTGGAGCAGATGGAAGAAGCATTATTGCTGGCACAGCATAAAATAATTTAAATGCACAGGTTTGAAAAATGCTTTCTGAAGGAGTTTGCAAAATGTATTGGCAGACATGCAGCTAATGGTATCTGAGATAAGTAAGGGCACTGCTCGGTGGGAATGTAGTGACACTACTGTGTATGTGTGGGAATACAGACACAGGACTATTGGCAATGAGAAGTATTTTAATGTCCTTTGATCAAAATGAAAAAGAAAAGCAGCTAAATAAATTTTGAATTTAAAATACTAATAAAACTAAAGTGTAACAAAGATGTGGGGTGAGAATTCACTGTACTATAGAACAGATTACCTTGTTATCCATAATCATAAGCAACTGTTCATTACTTTGCCAGTCTGAACTCTTAATTTGGTTGAAAGAGTCTGAGATTTTGCATTTATACCCTGGAGAGGTAATTTTCTCTCCGGGATGCCCAAAAAGTTTTGGCAGTTGTTAGTGCTTTTCCTGCCCCTCCAGAAAATGAGTGAGTTGATCAGGACTGATAAGAGGAACTATTTGCTGTTCCCTTGAGTACTGACTGGACTAAAAGCTAGTTGTTTTCCTGGAAGGTGGAGGAAGGTGAACCATGTTATGGTATCAGTCTTTCCCACAACTATCTCATTGGACCTCAAGAAGCAAAGTCATTTTGGAAAATCTTTAAACTCCCTCTCTGACTTCACACCCAGGCCAGAAACAGCAAGCCTCCTTTAAAGTAACAAAGTGTCCCCAAATACAGCAGTCATTTATTTTCAAGCCTTTCTTGAGTTCTGTGCAATCCATGCATTTCTTCTCTACTGACAAAAAAAAATAAATATATATTTGTTTTTTATTTATGAATTGTAGTTTCTTTAGTGACTCATCTTAATCATAGAACACAGGTTTGGCAGTTGAGATTCATAAGTGAGGCTCTTAAAGAGGACTCCTTATCTGTTCAGCCATTAATATCCTTGCTACAGTTATCTAAAGGTCAGCTGGTTTCTCAGTGCTCTATTAGAAGAAATGCTGCTTACACAGAGGTGCCAACACTATTAGGCAGGCTATTCTCATTTGAAACCCTTGAAAACTGATGTCATCAAAGAAGCTTAGATCCTTTTAACAATTAACAATAAAGAGCTAACATCTGAAAACAGAATTGCTACCTAAATGCAAAAAAGAAAGTAAATTAAAAATTAAAGAAAAAATAAACAAGATGCATTTTGGCAAGTGAAGTTTTAGAGTACATTACTAGAAATCATTTTCAGCAATAATACTTTTAAAATACTCCATAGGAGCATAAAAAATACTTTTTCTGCTTCTTAATGAAAGAAGCTTGGCTTGGATTGCCTTGACTAACTTTCTAATCACAGAAAAATTTTCTAAATGGCTTTCAAAAGGCCATCTGATGATTTGAAATAATTGCTAAAATCACAATTTACAATTTATTCAATTATTTCTTGCCTATAAATAGCAATTCAAATGCTAACTAAACACTTAATCATAATCCAAATTGTAAAACAATAACAATTAAACAGATATTTCTTGCACGGTATACGGTTACAGAGATTATTAGAGAAAAAGCATCTTTATAAAATGCATTTCCAAAGCTGTTCATTGGAGCTTTCACAAAACCTGTGGACTGTGAGATGCATTCCTGAACCATCAAGATAATAAACTTTTCCCCCTACCTATTTACAAACTAGAAAGAAATTTTACAAAGAATGAGCTATGAGCTGTTTACTCAGCAGCTGCAACATCTGTAGAGTTTTCCCAGGAATTCTTTTTACATTTGAAAGGCCATTATTACACAAAAATTAATCTGAAGCAAGGTCATAGAAATATGGTATTCCAACTTAGACCTTTGCTTCATTCTTTCTCAACACTGTTGAATTTCCCTTCGCACTGGGGATAACAATGATATTGTATGATGCTGAAAACTGTGAGATCAATGTGGAATTTTAAAATCAGTTTTAACAAATTATGTCTTCTAAGTTATTAATATCTAATGCCTTCAGTCTGTAAGACTTTACTCAAGTGAATCTACATCAATGTTTATAATTTTAGGGATAAAAATCTACAGGAAACAAGACTGGAAAGACTAAGTCCTGGACACTAATTAATGAAACTATTAATTATAATAAAATTATAATAAAAAACTTCAGTGAAGGCCTTAATGCTACCTAACAGCATAATTATCAGCAAATACCAACCAACCTCTTAAAGTAAAGATTTACTTAACATCCTGAATCTGTAGTACTTAAGTCAGTTAAAAAGGAAAAAAAGCTGAAAGAAATTGTTTAGCCATAAAAGAAGGATGTAAGGTACTCTAGCTCTAAAAATCACAAATCAAAAGTAGCTGATTAGGCATAGAGATGAAATACATATAATGAATAGTCCAGGTGTCCAAACAGGACGCATTTCTCAAAAACAAATAATACCAAGGAATTTTGCACTACTCTGATTTCAAGGTAAGTAGTTCATTACTAGTTTCACCTCAGCTTCACATATCTTGAAACACTTCAAGATACCAGCATAAATTTTGAATTAATAAATAGAAATTAAACCAGAAGCACCATAAGACCAACAGGAGGTTGAAGAGCAAATCTTGCTCTCACACCTACTTTTACATTAATTTTATGAGGTCCAAATGGGGAAATTAGGATTAAATGGAGATAAGGAGAAAATTGCTTTTCCTTTTCTATTTTACAAAAAAAAAATTGCCACCTTAGGTTAGTTGATACAGATTCACAAAAGCATATTGTTCTCTCATTTTATAAAAACATTTTTTCATACTATATTCCTTCTCCAAGCTCACAGGATTGTGGTAGCCATCTTGCTGCTTGTGAAAAAATGCATTTGAAAACATTCCTGAAATTAGAAAATTAAAGACATGAGCAGACAGACGAGTTATTCCAAGGTGCATCAATGTTTGAAACTTTGCCACATCAGTTTCTCTTCAGGAACTACCATATGCAATGCTCTTACCCTGAGGCACACGTAGGTAAATGATAGGGAGGTAATTCCTCTCTCTAGAGGATAGGCTCTCTCATGTTTCCACAGAGTGGGAATATGCAGACTGTTGTGGAAAGGCCCTGTTGTAAATTAGTACATAGCTTCACTGGGAAAAAAAAATAAATAAAAGCCCACCCATATTCTTAGAATTAAGGCATCAAACAGCTCCTCTTAGTAAAGAGGAAAGCTCAGGTAGAAAAACATAATGTCTAAGGAATTAATATCTGATACTTTGACTATTTTATCATATTGGAAACCATTGGGACACAGAACATGCAATGATCAGAAATAAATACTTAACATCATTCCATATTTCCTACAGAAGTCTTTACTTTGGTTACAAAAATTAACTAAATTATACAAATTTATTAGATCAATGAGTCTTGCAGACTGCACAACTAATAACTCCATTACAGATATAATAACTGGCATTTATCCAGAGTACCATTAATAAAGGCATTCAGTTTGTGAAAATAAAAATTCCAAGAAATGGAAGCATTTTAAGATTACACTATCTTTTAAAATCTTGAGCCTTATTGTTCCTTGGAAAATACACCACATTTCAGTCAGGTGTAGGCTGAACCAGTGTCCTCCATATGAGGAAAGTCTTATTAAGTCATTACTTTATCTCATTTTTAATGATGTGAACAGACTGAACTTCTTGTATAGAGCAATTTTCTGATATCAGAACATTTTCTTTTTTTTGCTCCTATACCCTTACCAAATTTTTAAAGTATTTTTAATTTATCAAGTATGATAACTCCACAGTGGGGCACAACTATAAACAGAATTTTTCTTTAACTCATTACTGCTTTTTTTATTTAATTTCTAGATCTAAATATATTTTTTCTCCTCTATCAGCCTCTCTGCTGGCAAGACCTTCCAGAATGACTGTCTAGCCTTTTTCTGTATATGACAAAAGAAAATTTGGGCAGCAATAGAGAAGTGGAAGAGTTAGTTGGTTATTCAGAAATTTCAGAGAAGTAATACATGTATGTGTGACTGGCCAAGAAAAAAAGAGCCACCTCTTAAAATGAAAGTGCAAAGGAGGCTGGCATAAAAAGCTCAGCAGAATGAGTAACCAGTATTTCAGGACTAAATGAAAAATGACTGACAAAGTAGGAGTCCCCCATGCAGAACTTTGGCCAGAATTTGGACTTTCTTCTACATCATATTGATAACCATCAATCACTATGATGTAAGGGAAGAAAACTATAAATTGCACAGACAGGAAATACAAATAAATCAATGTGGCTAGGAAAAATATTCTTTACATTTGCTTAGAGCAAAAAAAAAATGGTTTCACAAAACCTATGCTGGGAGAAGATGCAAAATTAGAAAGACATTTGGAGGGGAATACACAAGTTAACATCAATGGGCTGTGCAAAAGCGAGTTGTTGGCCTTTGACCAGCTCACCATTCCAATGCTGAAAAGATCAGAACTTCAGACATCTTTCAGCAGCACTTAAATGGTTTCACAGAAAAAGGTCAGCTGGATAGATGCAAAGCAAGCACTGTTACTCTCTAACAAGGATGAAGGAAAAGCTGTGGAAAGTTAATAACAAGTTCAAGCTACATGCAGTATGCTCTCTATTCTCCTAAATTTTTTAAGCCTTTAGTCTACAAGGTTATTAAGCTTTCCAACACAATATCCAGTCAAAGGTGAAAAGAAGTTTTATTCTTAATAATAAACAAAAAATTAGATAATCTGTAAAATAATTAACATATTCCCATTTGACCTTCCACCTTACAGAAAGCCTATTATTGCCCAGAAGGTGGATTTATGTGTCTAACTCGTTATTTTCATGAGGAAGACTGATAGCAGACCCTTCCTTGCTTAGATTGTTACGTACTGAAAGAAAAGTTCAAAAGGTAAGACAACTATGCAAATTATACTCTTCAAATACCAGAGATATTTTCACTTTAGTTTTGCTGTAAAAATACCTTTGATCTGCTGCATTAACATCACTCTAAACACAACAAGTTGAGACATACTGTAGAATTTATGTGAATAAATCTACAATGAAGTCCCTAAGTTTAGTTTAACAAATTTCCACCAAAGAAGAATTTTCAGTGTTAGACTTGCTATAAAACAGATTATTTACATTTTAATAATGTGTTATTAGCACAGGCAGATTTTCTTTAAACCATCGTGACAGTCTTCTGAAAGTCACTGTACATTGCTCAAAACTTTTTTACATCTACTTGAGTAGTGATTTCTCTACATTTAATTACACTCCCTTCATGAATTCAGGACAGTCTCTAGCCTCAGTAGGTATGGGATGATCTCAGATAAGAACTTGGCAATGTACTTTTGTACATTTATTTCTATAGTAGCTACACAGAAATATAATTTTCTACACTTATGAGAGTCTGGCAGTCCCTAATGTATTTAAAAATTGATCAGGTCATTTTTTCTCTCCATCTAAAAACATTGGATAGAGGGATAGGCATTTAGTGAGAGCAAACCCACTAAAATGAATGGGAAATCTCATTTTATAAAAACAATAAGGAGATGCTTTCCAGATTCCTACTACAATTAATTCCATTTCATTCTAAACCAAAACTTTTAATAAATTATTTAATTATCAATGTCAGTGTTTTCTATACAGCATTGGTTTGGTTTTGGGGTTCTACTTTTTTTAGGTCTTTAGGTACCTGCATGGAAATATTTTAAAATAAAGTGAGATTAAAAAAAAACAAGCATGAAAACACATATCAGATGTTTTTAAATTTTTTTTTTTCTGCAGGAGATTTCCAATCTGTGGAATTTGAATACAAAGATGAAGTGGGGGCTGAACCAGTGTTTCGCTTTTAAACAAAAGTGTATATTTCCTGTTTCCTCTTCAAAATCAAATTACCAATAGGCAGAAAATGCAATTCACTGAACATCTGTTGTTCTTCTCTTAGATCAAATTGTTTAAATAGAGAAAGTTATTCTGTATGTGTCAAAGCAGGGGGAGCAGATGTTGATCAGCTTTTCAACAAGGATATATTTTAAGACGGGCAACTGTTGTTGCCCCGTTCTCCCTTGTTTGTTATGTTCAATATGAAAACAGATTATTTTCTAGACTCATCCTTGTGCCAAATTTTGGTTATATTTAGTTTTAAAACACTGGCTAGGACTTTGCACTTCAGAGATTCTTTACTACAGGACAGTGCTAGTCTCTGTACTCAGTAGTTATGGTAATTAGAAATTCATTCAACACATTTTAAACCAAACATATTGAAATTATACTTTATGTATACTCATTTGCAAGTATGAAAAAAACCCTAATATTGTAGGCCTGTTTCTTCTTCTTAAAAGAGCTTAAACTGGAAGTATTTACATTGCTGACCTTTAAATACTTAACCCTAAATACCTAATTTTAGAGGCTAATTTTCCTGAACTATTTGTCTAGTTGGCCAAAAGGCTCGTAGACAGAAGCTTTACCATAAAGACTCCTAACTTAATCCAGTCAAAGGGTGCACTTTGGGGAGATCACTGAAGTCCAGACACACCATGGAAGACATAGAGAATGGAACTCCAAGCTAACATCTTTCCTCTACAGTGTTCACTGTGACATGTGAAAGCAGCTGCATGTACCAGAGTTCCAAGGTCATTCTGTCTTCAAGTCTCTCTTATTGTTCATGTTTGGAGTGTTCTGATTTAGTTTCTTCCTAGCAGAAGGAGAACGATCTACTTTCCATCGTGGAAATATTCCTTGGCAGAGTAGTAGACAACACATTATTTCAGTGCATTAATATTTATGTTTGAGGGTCTTATTTAAAGTATATCTTTGTGAATGCTGTCCAGACTTGCATCCAGAAAATATTTTTAATTTAAATTCCAGTTATTTCTTTGAATATAAACACTCTTTTTTCTACAATGTACATAAACTGCATAAATAAAAGGCCTTTTTCACCTCTGATATTTCTTGTTTTAATACATTTCTCATCGTTATGAAGAAAATTAATATGGTTTACCATATGTTAGCTGCTAGCTGTAGGCTAAGAAATGCCCTCATGTCCTACAGAGACATATTTTCAAAAAATGTAATGGAGAACCTTGCAAGTTTAGACTGAGATTCACAGTGTTCATGACTGACCTTTCCATCTGAAAACCAGATCTGTCTTTGTTTAATATCACAAATGAGGCCCTGATCTTTCTTTACATTGCCTTCATCCAATTCAAAAAATTATACTTCCAGTTTTAATGATGGGCTTGTTCTCATCAAATAAGCAAAGGAATCAAACAATCAAAGAATGAGTTAAAAATTAAAACAAGGCTTCTGCAAGTCATGATAGAGACTGTGATGAATTAAACAAGGGAGATGAAGCTTTAGCTTTATATCATACTTCTATGAAATTTAAGTTACAAGTCTTGAGTTTTGGTCAGTTATTAAAGCAAAAGAAGTCGAAAAAATGTTTCCAACTAAAAATGCCTTTTATTTTATGTACTCCTTACTCCAGATTTTATTTACAGGGGCTAATAAATGCTGCTCTGTTTAAATATTTTCTGCTTGGGTAAATGTTAGATACATGATAACAGTAATAGTCTAGCATCAAAAGTATACATTAAATAAACACAGATTTTATTTTCAAACACATAAAAATACTTCCAATGTTTTTTTTTCCTCATTAGGTATTTAATCTTCTTTGGTTTAGCTAATTGTAGATGTCCACAGGCTTATACAGGCTTATTGACTTCTTTCCTTAACAAAGGTTCTGTAAGAACTTGTTTAAAAAGGGTGTTGATATTATATACTTAAAAGCTTTTACTCATTTAATAATCCTGAACATGACAGCCAGCTTTGGTTATGCAAACAAAACTCAGAGCTTTGTTTCATAATGTTTTCTTCTGATTATTTTTGATAGCAAAAAATAACTGCTTCCCAATTTCTCTACTCTTTATTTTATGTGTTTCAGTACTAAAAGATACTATTACACTTTTGCCTCTTCAGGTTGCTGTCACAAAAGGATTTGGTTTTTCTGGAAGGAGTCAGTATTCTTATCTGTTCCCTGGTAATACTTTTTTTGCACTGTGCAAATAAAATAATGCTAAAATAAGGACAAAAGTTATGTTTTTCTTTGCATTTTATTTAGAATAGGACAACAGCTATCAAAGAAAGGCAAGGAAATCCAAAGTATCTTCTAATTCAGTTCACTGTTTAAAGACCAAACCAACCATCCTTAAAAATATTCTTGATGTATGTTCTTCTAAATTATTTTGGGGAATTTTCAATGACATAAATTTTCCCTTTGCTAGTCAACATTCCAGTTGTCTAGGATTTATAAAAATTAATATTTTCTTGCTCCCTGTCTTTCTGCTCTTTAATTCTCACCCACTGATCTTAGGAATTGAGTAAGGACTGTGATCTCTTTGTAGAGGAGGTGCAGATGAAATAAGGAATATTACTTCTTTTTTAGAAAACCAAAGACATAAACCCCAAACTGATTTTATGCTTCTACTTGCAGCCATGCTCAAGGCCAAAACCTTACTCAATGCCAACTTGCTCACTTGCTAACTTCGAAGAGGAGGTGACTGTGTCCCTATGTCCCAATGTGCTTCTGGGACTCTTTGCTAATACTGTCATAGGCTTTAGATTTTATAGGAAGTATTTGTTCCAAATAAAATGTCTTAAAGTGTAAATTAAATGAAAGTAATAATGAAAATAAATAATATATCAAGATCTCAAAGTCTTCTTTTACTGACTGTGCTGCTTTAACACTGAGAATATTTCAGATTATCATACTATTTTCCTCTTTGTGTCTTCTATGACCATATTACAAGTATTCAAATGTCCCCTAATTCTTCTCTTTACCAATTTACCTTCTTAACATTGATGATGTGGTGCTATTTGAAAGCACTAGTCTTATTTTAATAAAATTTAGCTAATTTGTGCACAAAGGCATTCTCTCCTTCTGTTCCTTCTTTAGAATTTCACTCTTGATTGAAGAAATCAAAGCTTTTCCCAGTACCATAATCAAAGAAGTCAGACATTCACGTTCTAGGTTGTCCTTGTCTTCTCCTGAGCCTCTTTAATCTGTCACCATGGATGGTGATTAGCAAATGATGAGCAGTCCCCAGCTGGTCCCTGTAGAGAAGCTGGTTCACTTTCTGAGGTTGTTCAGCAATGCCCCTTCTAGCCAATGTACCCTTGTTACTGCTTTGCCATCGTTTACACTTGGCTGATTATGCCAAATACTGTTGAATGCTTTCCAATCTAACTTCTGTTATTGGTATTTTTACCCCCGCTTCCTGAGAGATTGAGTAGGAGGCATGCCAGACAGCTTTCTCTTTCCAGCTTTCATTGATAGAAACCTTTTGCTGTAGTGTCCAAAAGCAGATAAAAGACAAGGATTGAAATGGCTGAGCAGAAAGGGGCAGGAAGCACTCAGACTCTTCGTATGGATGAGGTATTCATCTAAGAAAATCTTTGTCATCCCTGGTTGTGATGATAATCATAATCTTAGACTTTTTTTTATTCTGAAGACTTTTCTTTACATTCTTTCCCAAAGCTTCCTTACTGCTCATGGTTTCTCTTCCACTGCCTATTAAATAATAATATATCTGCTAATCTGTTAAATGTTGAACTCTTTTGTGCTTAGAGCAAGTCCTGTTCTTTTGCTAGGTACCACCAGAAATCAAAACCAGTGATGACAGGACAGCCAGTTATACCATTTTGTTCTCAGCTGCAAGCAGGAGGCCTGACACTTCCAATCACACACACTCCTCAATATCATTTTGTCCTCAACTTCTAAAAGAGGGTAAAGAGGGTTCATTTAGATTAGATATTAGGAAGAAATTCTTTACTGTGAGGGTGGTGAGGCACTGGAATTGGTTGCCCCAGAGAAGTTGTGGATGCCCCACTCCTGCAAGTGTTCAAGGCCAGGTTGGATGGGACCTTGGGTAACCTGACCTAAAGGGAAGTACCCTGCTCATAGCAGGGACTTGGAACAAGATGTTCCAACTCAAACCTATGATTCTATCACTCTACCTTTGCAACACAAATAAAACTTTCTTACACTATTCTAGGAAATATAAGAATGCTAATATTACTTTAGTTTTTCATTCCTCAATAAAGGATTGTTTTCTTCATTGCCAGAATTCCAGAAGTCCTTCCCTCTAGCTGACAAGAAACAAGTGAATGAAAGGCATGCCGTTCAACATGCAGTCATTAAGGGAGAAAATGGTGAATTAAATTTCAAAGGAACTCTTGCATCTATAAAATCAGACCTTTTGACTAGTACCTTTGTCAGTTTAGGTATTAAAATTATTAACCAAATTTATTAGTTCAACTGAAACCAATGCTCTATTAAAAATCTTTTCATTCTTTTACTGCACAGTGGCTTCAATTACCTTTGAGGAGAGTTTTATTTCTTCTTGAATGCACAGAGTTTTGTTCAAATCTTCATCTCTGAAATTCTTTAACAAGTAGGTGTCAAGGTACTTTGACTCAAGACATTCTAAGCACAAGCCTGTGTTTTCCCTGTGGTTGTGACCTTTTTATGCCTATTCTAAATTCTGTATTGAATAAAATTCAAGCTGCTGCTTCTCAGCATCAAAGGTTTTATTCTCTCTGCTAATCTAGTATCCTGAAAGTTATTCAGCCATGTCTCAAGACACCTGCTCTTCAGGAACTGCAACATTTGATTAGATGTCTTCCCATTTTCTACAGTTCTACTTAAAAAAAAAATGCATTTTTTGAAATGTATTTAATTCATTACAACACTCCAATATTCATTAAAGAATCCATCAGTATTTTCCTCAACACTTCTTATGATATCTTTAAGGAAGTGAAGAACTCCAAAGTGGTGAAAGGATAGTCATATGATATTTTTCCATGAATCAACATAAAAAGTATCATTTATTGTCTGAATTCTCTTTAATTTTGTGTATTACATCCTTCTCAGTCTTTTGAGATTTCTGCAAATACCGTTTACTGCAATATCAGCAATATATAAAATAAATTACAAAAATCGTAGGTTATAAAAATTTAGAAATTTCCACACAATTGAAAATAATTGGTTAGTATAAAGTCCTGAGTAAGAGTATAAACATGAGCAGAATATCTCAAGAAACAGACCATTACACATTCTGACAATCGAAATCATCTTGTATTACTATCAAATCTTCTGATATAGAATGCCAATTGTACCAGCTTTATTAGAACTACCAGAATCTAATCCAAAAGCAAATAACTACAAAAAATTTGGAGAAGAAAATACAGAGACAAAATACTTGTTGAGATGTGTTGTATGACTGAAAGATGCCATGTTCAATAAATTAAATGTGAGAGATTTGGCAGCAAAAATACTGGCACCATCTAAAGCTTCACAGAGAGAAGAATTGTCACACTACAAGGAATTATTCTCTATTAGTTTGGAGACACATGGTGACACTACATGTGTAATAAAATGTGTGTCAAAAAATAAAAACATGGACAGACTAGCAACTGTTCAGAGAACCACGAATTTTTTAAGTGCTTAACGAAGGAACTTACAAGAAGAAATTAACAGAGCTTTTATTTTTTCTTTATTAAGATATGGTTAGAGAAAAAAATTATTATTCACAGTTGTTATTTATGTCTAAATGCTTAGAAACAAAACCTCAGCTCAAATAAATCTGTGCAGCTTATTTGAGAACACAGTAGTTATGTTGATATGTTATCCACTTACTTAGTGGAGGGTAAGGCACTAATTAAAGAAGCAAAATATATGTTGATAAGGAGATGAAGGAAGATAATTTCAGTGGAATATAATGAATAAAACCCAAACTGTAAAGAATCATTACATTTTAGAGCATATTCACAAAAGTATTTGACCAATTGAGACTGCTATAATTAAGAAAGTGAAAAGCATCA